CCCTCCCTCCCTCCCTCCCTCCCCTCCCCTCCCTCCCTCCCTCCCTCCCTTCCCTCGTGTCCCCTTGTTGGGGCTCCCTGGGCGGCCCCCGTCGCCACCGCTGGATTCGCCTCCAAGTCCTGGTCGGAACGTCACCACCCACCAAACCACCCTCGATTTACCCTCGATGTACCCTCGATTTAACCCACCAACCCCCGAAGGCTCAGATTTACCCTCGATTTCTAGTGGGGGGGGGGTCCGGGAACATCGAAAAAACACACACATGGAGCCCATACCCGCCCAACCCGAAATTCGGGTTTTCGGGTTGGGTTGGGGTGGTCTGGTAGGTAGTCAGAACGCACCCCAGGAGAGGTCCGGGGAGTAGCGGTATCGGTGCCTTTTTGTCTTCCCGCGCGTCGCCGATGCATCGCCGATGCATCGCGAATGCGGCTCGATGCGGAGCCCGATTTGCTTCTCGCCGACGTCGGCGACGCATGCCGACGCCGGCGATGCGTCGACCCGCGGAGTCCCCAGCGCGGGCGGCTGAGGCTGGACTCTCGGGCATAGCCAGGACCCCGGGGGGCCCGGTCCGTAGTAGGGCCCCAGGAGCCCCTGCGTGGGCCAGAGTTCGGGGGCGGAAAAGAGGGGGGGTGATGACCAGGGGGGGGGGATATCATGGCGGGGGGCCATGATTTTTCCCCAGATGTCATGGCGCCTCTTCTTAATTATTTCATGACGTCCCTGGCCCCCCCGCTGGGCCGCGCACATGCCGCCGGTCATGATTTGCCCCCCCACCCCCCCCTCTTGGACACCCCCCTTTTGGCCGCTCCCGAAGAGTCAGTAAACCAGGTCCGCCACAGCTGGTGTTTGTCGGGTGAGGGCAGTTCCGGTTAGTGGAGCAGGGAGGGGGGGGAGTCTCCCAGTACACATCGCTAAACCCGGTCCCACTAAATCCAGTTCTGCCTACGCCCGAGAACTTGAAGAAGAAAAAAGTTATAAACATGCACTTTCGGCGCCCCGCGCGGATTTTTTGGATCCGCGCTGGGCCCCCCTGGCGGCGCCTCCGGCGCCGCCCGCGCTCCGCGCGCCAGGGACGGGGTCCGGCGCAGATCCAAGAAATCCGCGCGGAGCGCCAACAGTTTATGTTTATGGCGTTTTTTCCTCTATGAACGCCGCCCGTAGCCAAGAATCGGCGCATCGTTGAACGGTCTGGTCTGGCGTTTCTGAAACGGCCGATGGCCCCAGGCTGAACGATCGCCGCGATGTCAGGAACCAGCGCCAGGGTAGACACGACGCGAACCTGCCGCAGCACGCTGGCCGTACTCTCTCCCGCGCCCGGCGGCGCGGCAGAAGCTGGCGGCGCGCAAAAAGGGGGTACGGGGAGAGGGGGGAAGGCTTCCTCGAAGCAGGGGCGTCCCTAAGACGCCTCCCCCCTTCCCCCCAAGTCAACTCCCCTCTGCGCGCCGCAAGAGAGGGCCCGCGCGCAGCTGGCGCGGGTGCGCCCCCCGAGGGCTCGGATGGCGCGCGGCGGCGCTGGGGCTGCCGCCCTCGCGGCTCCGGGCGTCCGCGGGGCCCCCGGCCGGCGCCGTGCAGACAGAGCTACTTGTCTCGCTCGCCACGAGCAGCGCACGTGTCCGTGTCCGCGCCCTCGCTGACGAACCAACAACACACACACCCATACCCATAGGGGGGTCGGAGAGGGCTATGGGTGCGTGTTGTCGGATGGAGGTCCCCGCTCGAACGGGAGCGTTCCCCAGGGTCCGACAACCTGCACCCATACCCATAGCCAGTCCTCCTCCCAACGACCCCCCTACGGGTATGGGTGTGTGCTGTTCGTTCGTCACTCGCGGTCTGCACTCTGGGGCGTGATCCCGCGGATGCGCGGTCCCACGGATGCGTTCCGCGCGGGGCATCCGCGAAAAAAACGCGCCGCCTCCGCGGGGTCGCGGCCCAGGGGCCCAGCCCGCGAGGCCGCGGATACGGATACGTGTGTGTCGCCCATGGGCTCGGACTTGGGCAGCTCTCAAGAAGCAGACTGGGCCATCTTGGACCATCTCACTCGGGAGCATCTCGGCCCATCCTGGGCGCTCTTTCGAGGGCCAGGAGCGCACGAAGCCGGCAAGCGCCCGGGGAGGGGACGCCCAGGCGACGGCCGGCGTGTGCTAACTGCGTGTGCGTCGCCCCCCCCCCCCGGGGGCGGCGCGCTCCTGCTGCGTTCCTCGTGGTAGCACGGTGCCGCGTCCAGCGCCGTGCAGCGCGAGCTCAGGCCACGGCGGCTCAAGATCGGTCCCTGGCGGACGGAGTTAGGACTAAGTCGGACATGGCCCTCTACAGGAGGAATATTCTAAAGTAGTCCAACAATAGTCTGGGGACGATTTTTCTACACTGTTTGATCGCGTTGGTCTATTTTCTGACTACGACTCGTTTTTCGTCCACCACAGTCCTCCTGCAGGAGGACATGCCCGACCAAAGGCCAGGACGGGGCGAGAGCCCTGCCAGAGCGTTCCCGGCACGCTCTCGGAGCGAGCGAGGGGGGGGCATTCGGGACGGAGAGGGCCTCCTCCTCCTCCTCCTCCTCACGGAGAGGGCCTCCTCCTCCTCCTCCTCCTCCTCCTCCTCCTCCTCAGTTTCCCTCCCCCCTGAGGCCACCCTTCGGGGGCAAGGCACGCACGAGACCGGCCAGCGCCCGGGGAGTGGACGCCCGAGCGACGGCCGCCAGGTGCCACGTGCGCGTGCGTGCCTCGGCCCCCCCCCGCGGGGGCGGCGCGCTCCTGCGGCGCTGCTCGTTGCAGCAGCAAGCCAGGCCTGAAGTCGAGCATTCAGTCAAGCAGCGGCGGAGCGTCCTGTCGTCAGCGAGCGAAGAACGGTATAAAATAAACTTTCCGCCGTCGGGGACACCTGCCCCTGGGCGGCTGGAAAGTTTATACCCCTACGGTGCCACCGTAAGGGTATAAACTTTCCAGCCGCCCAGGGACAGGCGCCCCCGACAGCGAAAAAGTTATTTTACACCGTTCTTCGCCCGTTAATGTCGGGTATAGCCAGGACCCCAGGATACGGGGACCCGGCTAGTGGTAGGGCCCCAGAGCCCCTAAGCTGGCCAGAAGCACTCAACCAGGTCTGCCGTAGCTTGTGTTTTTTCGGGTGACCGCAGTTCCAGTCAGTGGAACGGGGCGGGGGGGGCGCCCCCAGTACACATCACTAAACCAGGTCCCACTAAACCCAGTTCTGCCTCGCCCGATCCTGGCGTGCCTCAGAGGCCTACCAAAAATATGCTCTAAGAACCTGTTGTGGTTGCAGGAAATGCTCTCGGAACAATTCTGCCGGGGGTGGGCTATCTGTTTCAACACATCGAGCTTACGTGCTAGGAACATGGTTTTTTTATTGGAACATGTCTGGGTTCTAAGAAGTCTTCGTGGTAGCCATGTAGAAATGCCGTCACGCGTAAGGTCCCTCGCTCAAACCCAGGACGTTTGGTTGCCAGCATTAAGTCGGGCATCAGTCGAGCATTCAGGGAATCAGCCACGCGCAGAGCGGGGGTGGGGTCGGGCGGGGGGAGGCGGGGAGGGCTTCCCAGAAGCACCCTTGCTCCTCAGAAGGCGCGGGCCTGATCTGCAGATCTGAGGTTGGCGCCTTCTAGGAAGCAACCTCCTTCCCTCACCGAGCGCTTTCCACTACTCGCCAAGTGCCTACTCGCAAACGTCTGAAAAAACACATGCCCGCGTTGATGCCATGTATCGTAGATCCCCCGCGGGGAGTCCAGGTCCGTTGCGAGTAGTTACTTTGCGAGCAGTGGAACGCGCTGATCCATTTCCTTCTAAGGAGCCCTCCCCCCTCCCTCCACCCCCCTCTGTGCGCGCCGCAAAGCAAGGACAAGAACGGCGGCGCCTCGCCCGCGCCGCGCCCGCGCCGCGCCCCAGGTCCTGCAAGCTGGCGCCCGCCTCGGCCACGCTCTCCCGGCGGGGGCGGGGCCGCCTGCTGCAGCGGGGGCGGGGCAGGCTCGGCCTTTATGGGACGCGCAGAGGCATTCTCATACTATATGTCCGCCTTGGAGGCGCGCGTCCGACCCGAACGTGTAGCAGACCCATCTTGTAGCCGATCGTTTCTCGAGCGGTGTGGCCAGGAAGCGCCCGCCACGACGCATATGCTGTAAGATTTCTCGGTGCGCGCGTCGCCCCTGGGGGGGCGACGAACACATAGTGTAAGTATGTTGGGGAGGCGCCGATTTTAGCCCAGGAGACCGCAAGCATGGATCAGGGCGGCGTGGATTGGCGACGGGTCCCGTTTCCCTGGGAACTCGCCCACTTCCGCCGCTGAGCGAGGCGGCACCGGCCGCATCTTGGGGAGGGCACCTCCCCGGCTCCGTGGATGTGGCGACCGCGCGCCAAATCCATGGATCGCTACACGCCGGTCGTTGAAAGTAGGTATTTCTGGACTCCCAGATCCCACTCTATTCCAAGCGCCTTCCTACTTCAAGAATCGACACGCTTTTGCTGTGTTTTGTTATTCCCTGGGGGGGCCTGGACCCAATCAACTGACTCCGCCTTCCTCCTTCATGTTTTTACCTACTTCTTCCGACCGACGTGTAATCCATGTTTGCGCGCCCCCGATTGGCGGGCCCTGGAAACGACACAGACGAGAAAGGTCCAGATCCCAACCGGACGGTTCAGATCCCAACCGGACGGTTCAGATCCCAGCCGTCAAGGACACGTGGGACGGGTGAGATCCCAACCACTTTGGAGCCTCCGAAAAGCTCCGAGCCTCTGCAAGGTTCTGGAGCCTCTGCGAGCCTTTGAGACCCTCTGCAAGGTTCTGGAGCCTCTGAGAGGTTCTGAGAGAGGTTTGAAGAGCTTCTGAGAGATTCTGCAAGATTCTGCCAGGTTCTGAGAGATTCTGCAAGATTCTGCAAGGTTTTGAGAGATTCTGCAAGATTCTGCAAGATTCTGAGAGCCTCTGAGAAATTCTGCAAGGTTCTGAAGCCTCTGAGAGAGTCTGCAAGATTCTGCAAGGTTCTGAGAGATTCT